GAGTATTATTATTATTATTATTATTATTATTAATGTAAGAGGAAATTACCGGCAATTTTTTATATAAATAACCGTGAGAGAGGGGATTTGAATTTTTTTTTTTTTTAATAAAAATTTTAGTTTTGGGGAAAAAAAGAATAAAAGAGAGAGTAAAAAAGATAAATTTAATATTTGCTTTTCAAAATTGGAATTTTTCCCCAAATTATGATGTAAATGTCACCAAAAAAAAAAAAAAAAAAAAAAAATAAGAAAAGTAAGAATTTAATAAGAAATCTTCAATGTCATATGACAATTAAGATGAAAAACAAAAATTTGAAAATCAAAAATTCAAGAATATCAAAATTTAGTAAAAAATACTGTCAATAAATATAAGTGGAAATATTATTTATTATTAATATTGAGTCAAAATACTGTCTATAGTAGAGTCAAAGTATTTTTTATTTTTATTAAATTTTTATTAAATTTTATTAAATTAAAATACTGTCCATAGATCAGTCAAATAGTTTTAAACGTAAAATTAAAAAATGTATTTAATGTTTTGTTTATTATTAAGTTTATTTATTTGATTAAGTCAAAATACTGTCCGTAGTTTAGTCAAAATATTGTCTGTATTTGACTCAAATTACTGTCAATACTTGAGTCAAAATACTGTCTATACTGTATGTATTTGACTCAAAGTATTGTCTATAATTAAGTCAAAATACTGTCTGTATTTGACTCAAAATAGTGTCTCTACTGTATGTATTTGACTCTATGTTCTTTCTATAATTGAGTTGAAATACTGTCTATAGTAGAGTCAAAGTATTTTTTATTTTTATTAAATTTGAATACTGTCCATAGATCAGTCAAATAGTTTTAAAAGTAAAATTAAAAAAATTTATTGAATGTTTTGTTTATCATTAAGTTCATTTACTCGAATGAGTCAAAATACTGTCCGTAGTTAAGTAAAAATATTGTTTGTATTTGACTCAGATTACTGTCAATACTTGAGTCAAAATACTGTCTATACTGTATGTATTTGATTCAAAGTACTGTCTATAATTGAGTCAAAATACTGTCTGCATTTGACTCAAACGACTGTCCAGAGTAAAGTCAAAGTGTTTTATACTTCTAATAAAATTAAAATATTAAATAATAAAATATTGTCAAACGTTCAATCAAAAAATTTATTTAATGCTTATTTATTAATAAGTTTATTCATCCCAATGAGTCAAAATACTATCCATAGTTAAGTCAAAATACTGTCGTTAGTACAGTCAAATTGAAATTGACTTTTATTAAATTAAAATACTGTCCAATGTTAAGTCAAAATACTGTCTAGATAAAGTCAAAATTCAGTTCTTTTATATATTCCATTAAATTATTGTCCATATAGATCTGTAAAACCATTATCATCAGTTTTTTCTAAACTTTATTTTTATTGTGTCAAAATACTGTCCATAATTGAGACAAAATATTATTTATTATTATTGAGTCAAAATACTGTCCATAATTGAGTCAAAATATTATTTATTATTATTGAGTCAAAATACTGTCCATAATTGAGACAAAATATTATTTATTATTATTGAGTCAAAATACTGTCCATAATTGAGTCAAAATATTATTTATTATTATTGAGTCAAAATACTGTCCATAGTTTAGTAAAAGTACTGTCTACAGTACATTTTAATTTTACTTAATTTTTATTCAATTAAAATATTGTCTAAAGATTAGTAAAAATATTGTAAATAGTTTAGTACAAAAAACCATTTTAGTCATAAATAAAAATAAAAATAATTTTAAACCAAAATATTGTCTATAATACAGTCAGAAAATTTAGTTCTTTTTTATTCAATTGAAATACTGTCCATAGATCAATAAAAATATTCTCAACAGTTTATTTTAAAAAAAATTGTTTATTCTTTATTTTTATTGAGTCAAAATACTGTCCACTGTGGAGTGCAAATTATTATTGAGTCAAAATACTGTCCATGGTACTGTCTAAATGCAGTTTTATTATTTTTTAATAAAATCTAAGGATCAGTAAAAATTCAATATTTAAAATTAATGCATTTTTTGTTATATTCTGCGTCAGAAAAATATGGTAAATCTGATTAAAATGTTTCATTTTAAAAAAAAAAACAAAAAAATATTCTTTAAAAATTTTTTTAAATATCATTTATTGTTTCCAATGTAATTTCTCATTTTCCAATGGTTAAAACAAATTTTTTTCTTCTACAATTATTAATTGTACCAAATTATTATACTACTAAGAATTATTATTATTATATGAAAAAAAGTTTAATCTTTTTTTTATTTTTTATTTAATTTAATTAAAACTAAATTTTCTAAATTAAATTTTAGTCTATAAATTAAGAAAAAATTTATATTAAAAGAAAATTAATTTGAATAGCGCAAAAAACAGAATACAAAATGTGAATAGAAAAAATACTTTTAATACACAACTCACTTTATTGAAATATGTGAATAGTTCTCATATTGACATTTTGTCGTCATATTGGTTACGCTTTTTGGCACTCTATTTATCTCGAGTTGCTTTTGAATTTTTTTTTCCCACATTCATTGATTTTAAACTGAAAAAAAAGAGAAAAGAAAAAAAATATTTTTTTTTTTTTGAGTAAAGTAATAGCACCAGAGATTTTTTCAAAAAAAAAAAAAAAAAAAAAAAACGATTTTTTAGATACATTTTAACACTAAAGAAAAAAGATGAGAAAGTGAAAAAGTTGATCGCGGTTGTAAATGATGGAGAAAGCATTCATTCAATTCCATTTTACCTTCACGGTGCATTTCACGCACAACTTTTCTTGATAGCGCGCTTCATACATATTTAATTTCAACTCGTAAATCTTGTTAATTTCATCTAAGCTGATAATACTTTATTTACACTTTGATTATCTAATGGACATGATTTTTTTTTCTCAACAGTAATTTTTTTTGTTTTGTTTTTTTTTTGTTAGAAAATTTATCTCGTTTAATAATTTGCATTTAATTGAAAATTATGTTTAGACATATAGAATCATTTAGTATTTGGATAAGATATACAAATATATAATATATATATATATATATATATATATATATATATATATATATATTTATGTAGAAACAGATGAAAAATTAAAATAAAAATGCAAAAAAAAAATTCAAAACAATATATTTAAATTAGAATATTAATAAAATTTGAGATAAATATGACAGATTTTTTTTGTATTTTATTATTATTTTATTTATTATTTTATTATTAATCATTAGTTTTTATAGTATTTATTAAAATTTATATTATCAATTTTTTTTTATTTTTTATACCTTTAGTACGATTAACAATAGTAGGGACACTATTCCTGACTATAGTGTTAACAGTACTTTTAAAGACAGTATTTTTTTACTACAAAAAAAACAATACTTTTCACTATACAGTATAGACAGTTTTTATTACTAAAATTCGAACAGTATTTCTGACTTCATCACAGACAGTATTTTTAGCTATAGTACGGAAAGTACTTCTTACTATAGTTCAGATAGTATTTTGAAAAAGTACAGACAGTATTTTTTTGACTAAAGTTGGTACAGTAATTTAGTAAGTAAGCATCGACAGTATTTTTTACTACAAATTGGACAGTATTTTTACTACAGTACAGACAGTTCAATAACTGCAGTATGGACAGTACTTTGACAATAATACGGACAGTATACTTTGACTATAATATAGACAGTACTTTCGAGTATAATACTGCCAGTATTTTTAACTACAATACTGACAGTATTTTTAACTATAGTACTGGTAGTACTATAAACTATAGTACTGCTAGTACTATGAAATAGTACTGCTAGTACTGTAAACTATAGTACTGGTAGTACTATAAACTATAGTACTGGTAATATTTTAAACTATAGTACTGGTAGTATTATTGACTATAGTACTGACAGTACTTTGAACTAGGATATGGATATTTCTTTTACTACAGTATTTGTAGTATTTCTAGTATTTTTAGTTTAGTACTGGCCGTAATTTTAACGACAGTATAGATAATACTTTTGCCTACAGTGTGGACAGTATTTTAACTACAGTATTGGCAGTAGTTTTAAGTAAAGTTTTGACAGTACATTTACTATAGTACTGGCAGTATTTTTTTCCATACTGTCCAAACTGCTTTTTAGTAGAGCAGACAGTATTTTTGACTAAACAGCAGACTGTTTTTTAAAAATCATTTTTACTATAGTGGAGACAGTACCTTTACTAAAGTACTTGTAGTATTTTTTTGTATATTACTGGCAGTCATTTTGACTATAGTACTCGTAGTAATTTTTTCTGTAGTACTGGTAGTACTTTTTTCTGTAGTACTGGTAGTACTTGTTTGCTATAGTACTGACAATACTTTCAACTGTAGTACTGAAAATACTTTGTGCTACAGTACTAACAGTACTTTTAACTTTAGTACTGAAAATACTTTATGCTATAGTACTAACAGTACTTTTAACTCTAGTACTGAAAATACTTTGTGCTATAGTACTAACAGTACTTTTAACTGTAGTACTGAAAGTACTTTGTGCTATAGTACTGACAGTATTTTGTGCTATAGTACTGACAGTATTTTGTGTTATAGTACTGACAGTATTTTGTGCTGTAGTACTGACAGTACTTTTAAATACAGTATAGATAGTACTTTTAAGTAAAGTATGGACAGTATTTTTAAGTACAGTTTAGACAGTACATTTACAATAGTAATGACAGTATTTTTCAATACAGTGTCGGACAGTATTTTTTTTACTACAGTCCAGATTGCTTTTAGTAGTGCGGACAGTATTTTTGACCAAACTGGAGACAGTTTTTTTTACTTTATTGTGGACAGTAATTTTGATACAGAAAGTAAAAAAATATATTTTTCCGAAATCAAGAATATTTATATTTATTAATAATGTAATAAGAAAAAAATGAAATATTATTTAATTTTCGTTTTGAAATTTATATAATTAATGAATTATCAAAACATATTTACCTAAAAGTCAATTATCTCTCTTTCCTCTCTCTTCTCATTGTAATCCGTGCTTAAAGCTTGATCCACAAATTGTTGCCAAATAATATATTGGTATCCTGGAACAAAAGAAACAGAAAACGATAAATAATACCGTCATTATTCTTTCTCTGCATTTTATTTTTCTTACTATATATATATATATATATATATATATATATATATATATATATATATATATATACTTAGTATACATTTATGTAGAGAGATAGAGTGAGAGAGAAAACAGCGGAAAAACGAGCTTCGAATCATGAAATAAACATCAGGACCTATTACTTCCCCTATCAAGTGTCTTCCTTCTCTCTTCTCTGAGAAGTGTTTCTTGGGAAAATAATCTCTGACAGAAAGATGTTAATTTTTCACACTCCCCATTTGATTTTGTGAAGGAAACCTCAACGATGAATGCGATCAAAATAGGTCAAATGTTACTGAATGAAAAAAAAGTAGATATCGAAAATTGAATTGAATTTTTTTTCAACTGTTAACAGTATTTTGAAACAAATATAAAAATGAATTTTAATAATAACATTGTAGACAGTAATTTGACTAATTTTGTACTTTGAGTCAATTTCAAACAGTACTTTGACAGTATTTTCATTTAGTTGCAAACAGCAATTTGACTTAAGTGTGGATAGTATTTGGACTTACTATCGGACAGTATTTTAACTTAAATGTGAAAAGTAATATGACTCTGCTTTAGACAGTATTTTCTATAGAATTATTTATAGTACTTTGACAAAATTGCGGACAGTATTTTAATTTTCTATCAGACAGTATTTTAAATTAAAAGTGGACAGTAATTTAATTCTGCTTTAGACAGTACTTTTCACATAATTATTTATAGTTATTTGACTCAATTTAGTTTTAAACACTAATTTCACTTAAGTGTGGACAGTACTTGGACTCAATTGTGGACAGTATTTTGAATTAGTTTTAAACAGTAATTTGACTCAACTGATGACAGTATTTTGACTTAATTGCAGACAGTAAATTGACTTAACTGAGGATAGTATTTTGACTTAATTGCAGACAGTAAATTGACTTAACTGAGGATAGTATATTGCCTCAACATCAGACAGTATTTTGGTTCAACAGAAGGTAATAATTTAACTTGTATTTAAAAAATATTTTTAATTAACATTGGACAGTATTTTCATTTTTATCTTTCGACAATATTTTGACTTAACATTGAACATTATTTGGATTTACATTTGGAAAGTATTTTGACTTTAAATTAGACAGTATTTTTACCTTTTTTTAGACACTATTTTTTATTTATCTTTGGACATTTTTTTGACTTAACATTGGACAGTATTTTAACTTAATATTGGACAGTATCTTGATTTATCTTTGGACAGTATTTAGAATTTAAATTAGACTATATTTTGATTTATACTTTGTCAATATTTTTATTTACATTGGGGCAGTATTTTGTCTTAACATTGGACAGTATATTAATCTACCTTTGGACAGTATTTTAACTTAACATTGAACAATATTTTGATTTATTTTTAGACATTATTTTGACTTAACATTGGACAGTATCTTGACTTACCCTTAGACAGTATTTGGCTTAACATTAGACAGTAATTTGGTTTAACAGAAGGTAGTAATTTAACTTGTATTTAAACAATATTTTTCCTTAACATTGGACAGTATTTTGATTACACTATGGACAGTATTTTGACTTACCATTGAAAAAATTTGGATTTACCTTTAGAAAGTATTTTGACTTTACATTAGACAGTATTTTGACCTTTTTTTAGGCACTATTTTTTATTTATTTTTGGACAGTTTTTTGACTTATCATTGGACAGTATTTTAACTTAATATTGGACAGTATTTTGAATTAAAAGTGGATAAAATTTTGATTTATATTTCGTCAATACTTTTATTTACATTGGGGCAGTATTTTGTCTTAAAATTGGACAGTATATTAATCTACCTTTGAACAGTATTTTAACTTGACATTGAACAGTATTCTAATTTATTTTTAGACAGTATATTCACTTAACATTGGACAGTATTTTAACTTTAATTTAGAAAATATTTTTATTTATATCTTGCCAGTATGTTTATCAATCTTAGGACAGTATATTTACTTAACATTGGACAGTATTTTGACTAAACCTTAGTCAGTATTTTGACTTAACATTAGACAGTATTTACGTTCAACAGAAGGTAGAAATTTAACTTGTATTTAAACAATATTTTGCCTTAACATTGGACAGTATTTTGATTACACTATGGACAGTGTTTTGACTTACCATTGAAAAAATTTGGATTTACCTTTGGAAAGTATTTTGACCTTTTTTTAGACACTATTTTCTATTTATCTTTGAACAGTTTTTTGACTTAACATTTGACAGTATTTTAACTTAATATTGGACAGTATCTTGATTTATCTTTGGACAGTATTTTGAATTAAAAGTGGATAATATTTTGATTTATATTTTTTGGGAATATTTTTATCTACATTGGGACAGTATTTTGTCTTAACATTGGACATTATATTAATCTACCTTTGAACAGTATTTTAACTTAACATTGGACAATAGTTTAATTAACTTTGGACAGTATTTTAATCCATTTTAAGTCGGATTTTTTTTTTTTTTTTTACTTAAAATTGGACAATATTTTTTAACTATCTTTGGACAGTATTTTAACATAACATTGAAGAGTATTTTGACTTAATATTGGACAGTATTTTTGATTTATTTTTAGACAGTATTTTGACTTAACATTAGATAGTATTTTGTCTTGACATTGGACATAGTATTTTAATATTCTTTCGAAGAGTATTTTGACTTTTTTCAGCATTTATTTTTTTGTAAATTATAAAATATTTCAATTTTTTCTAAATTATTTTTGATATTTATTTTGTAATTAAATTTTGTGTTTCAATATTACGAAAACATTTTGAATTCCAATTTATTTTTTCCAAAAATAATATTGTTAACTTTACAAATTGAAAAAAAAAATTTTTTATTGACTATATATTTGTGCAGCGCAATGACGTACATAAACAATTCCATTATATTTATCAGATAATGAAAAGACAACGATAAAACCGCAATGGCCTGTAAGCAGAACTTGGATTCCAAGAGCGGGGTGGATAAAAGAACTCACATTGGACTTGTTTCTCTCCCACCCACCACCCCTTCTCTCTCTCTCTCTCTCTCTCTCTCTCTCTCTCTCTCTCTCTCTCTCTCTCTGTCATTAATACCAGGCGACTGTTACATATGGATGAGAGTGTTGCAGGGCTAGGCCACATTGAAACAGTTGAGGAGAGGATAAAACGAAAACTGAACCTAACGGAATACTACAGGAATAGGGAACCAAACTCATCGACTAAAAGCATTCGCAAAGACCAAAGTCATTTCGCTTTATATATACGCGACAAGTCTTAAAAGTATATATATATATATATATATATATATATATATATATACTATATAAGGTCTCTCGTGACATAACATTACGATCTCAATGGAAGAGAACACAATTTTCCTTCGCGGGAAGTACAATATATATATATATATATATATATATATATATAGCTTCGACAGTATATGATTCATGAAATTAAGTATTTTCCTGATGATTTTTGTCATTTTTATGGAGTCTTATATTTTTTTTTTTTTGTTAAAAAAAGGAATTAATGACTGAAAAGTAATTATTTTCTCAATAAATATAAAATAAGTATTCAATATTGAAAAATAGAAAAATTATTATAACATGTATTTGTCAATATAAGACAATATTTTGACTAAAAAAATTTAGACAGAAATTTTTTATTGTACTTATAACAAATAAATATATTAAAGTAAAATAAAAACAGCAAAAAAAAGGGAACACTAGTTTGGCTTAATAGGAAAAAGAAAATATTTTCATTAATAATTAAAAATAGTTACTTCAATCAATATTGCACAATCGATTGACTCAATAGTGGACAGTATTTTTACTCAATATTGAGAAGTGCTTCGGCTTAATAGTAGATAGTATTTTGACTCATTAATAGACTGTACTTTAACCTGAATGGCAGACAGTATTTAGACTCAATTTTGAGAAGTTCTTTAACTCAATATTGACAATTTATTCGGCTTAATAGTAGACAGTATTTTGACTCATTAATAGACAGTAATTTAACTCAATAGCAGACAGTACTTTGACTGAATATTGAGAAGTTCTTCGTCTTAATAGTAGACAGTATTTTGACTCAATATAATAGACTGTATTGTGACTCAATAATAGACAGTACTTTGACTCAATAGCTGACAGTATTTTGACTCAATTATAAACCGAACTGTAACTAAATATTAAAAAATATTTTTTACTTCAATAATAATGGACAGTACTTTCAATCAATTTTGAGAAGTTCTTGAATTCAATGGCAGACAGTATTTTAACTCAATAATAGACAGTATTTAGACTCAATTTTGAGAAGTTCTTTAACTCTATATTGACAATTTCTTTAGCTTAATAGTAGACAGTATTTTACCTTAATATAATAGACTGTATTGTGACTCAATAATAGACTGTATTGTGACTCAATAATAGACAGTACTTTGACTCAATAATAGACAGTACTTTGACTCAATATTGAGAAGTTCTTCGACTTAATAGTAGACAGTATTTTAACTCAATAATAGACAGTACTTTGACTCAATAATAGACAGTACTCTGATTCAATATTGAGAAGTTCTTCGACTTAATAGTAGACAGTATTTTGACTCAATAATAGACAGTATTTTGACTCAATAATAGACAGTACTTTAATTCAATATTAAGAAGTTCATTAATTCAATAGTAGACAGTATTTTGACTCAACTAAAAAAAGTACTGTAACTAAATATTAAAAATATTTTTACTTTAATAATGGACAATACCTTAACTTAATAGCAGACAGTACTTTGACTTAATATTAAAAAGTTCTTCGACTTAATAGTAGACAATATTTTGAGTTAACTATATAACGAGTGCATAAAATACAATAAATAAATACAACAATTTTAGTTGAGTATACTTCAATATAATAAAATTAAACTAAAAACATTAT